AAAAAAATAAATAAATAAAATAAAAGAAACAACCTTATGCCTTCACTACATACAATGACCAAGATCCCCTTTCTAAATATTCATCCCCTCCCTAAATAAAAGGAACCCATCCACCATCTCAGAGAGTCACGGCTTTCTAAGTTATTCCTCATGATTTTCTTATCTGCTGCAAATTTTCCTTTGCATGACAACTGGATCTGGTATAGTTTGTGTCTGTGACTCGCCAAGGAGCTAACTCAAGTTAGTTCGGTTACAGTGGCACCTCAACAGGAAAATAAAGAATTGCCATGCTATGCTCTGCAGTTCTAGGATCTATCCCTTTCTGGGACTATCGCCATTCTAAAACTCTGGAGAGGGATCAAAAGTCCCTAGGGTTCTCTTCAGGATGAGATTCCTGTTTCTGAAGTTGCAGCTCTTTATAATCTCACAGGAGTCCAGAGGTTCCTTGGAAATTAGGATATAAGATTAGAGGACAGGGGCATCTGGGTGGCTCAGCTGGTTAAGCGTCTGACTTCAGCTCAGGTCATGATCTCAGGGACCTGGGATCCAGCCCCTAGTCAGGCTCCCCACTCTGTGCGGAGTCCGCTTCTCCCTCTGCCCCTCTCCCAGCTCCTCCTCTCTCTAATAAATAAAATCTTATTTTTTAAAAAAGATTTTATTTATTTATTTGACACAAACAAGAGGAGCAGCAGGCAGAGGGAGGAGGAGGCTCCACACGGAGCAGGGAGCCCAATGCGGGGCTCGATCCCCTGACTCTGGGATCATGACCTGAGCCAAAAGCAGATGCTTAACCAACTGAGCCACCCAGGTGCCCCTCTAATAAATAAAATCTTAAAAAAAAGGATTAAAGGACAAATTCATATTGGAACCCTCACCCAGCATCTCAAATTTTACTATCCCCTAGAAACTAGAGCCACTGAGGACAAAGACAAAGGAGACCACGAACAGGGCACTTGTTACCCAGCTGAAAGCCAAGTCAGCCTCCAAGTCACGGGGCACCCCACGCAGCCAGAGCGCACCCTCACGCATGCGCACGCGGCCCGTCCTGGGGCGCACGGACAGGACCACTCGCTCAGAGCTGGGGACCCACTGGAACTCAAGCCGCTGGTCCGCACCCAGAAGCCCCCACCCGCCGTGGAGGTTCCCGCTGCGGGGTCCCGGGCCTCCTCCCCACCGAGGGTCACCGCCGTTTCCCTCCCGGCCCACGCTCTAACCTCTGCTCTTGGGAAGGTGGGCAACCAGGACCTTGAGTTACTAGAAAATCTGGAAACGGGATTTCGGCCTTCACTAAACCTGCTGGCGCAGGAGGGGGACCAGAAAGATGGCGAAGCTGCGCGTGCGCAGCACTGTCCGCGGCCGGGGCGCAAGTTCTGCTGGGTAAGGAAACTAGTCTCAAGACTACGTCTACCATAATCCTTCGCGTCCACTTGTTTAAATAACTATGTAAATAAACCTTTTTTTTTTTTTTAGATTTTTATTTATTTTTTGACAGAGAGGGAGACAGCGAGAGAGGGAACACAAGCAGGGGGAGTGGGAGAGGGAGAAGCAGGCTTCCCGCTGAGCAAGGAGCCCGATGTGGGGCTCGATCCCAGGACCCTGGGATCATGACCTGAGACGAAGGCAGACACTTAACGACTGAGCCACCCAGGTGCCCCTAAATAAACCTATCTTATTCAAAGAGTAAGGAGGTGGTTGCTGTGGAAGGTCTGTAGCTCTCTCTGGCGTTTTCAGAGGCCGCCCCCTACTCCACCCCCGTAGGTTAGGCCCTACGTGTAAGAACTACTAAATGTAATTTGTGGTCCTTTAGACATCCTGGTTTGGCAAAAAACAAAAACAATAAAAACAACTCTTTGAAAGACTTTTGAGGACATCATGGGAGTTTGATTATAGATGCGCTATTAAAAAATGTACTTAGTTTTGGAAATACATACTGAAGTATTAAAGAGTGAAATATATCTAATTTATTTTAAAATGTTTTCGCAAACACAAGATAAATATGGCAAAATGTGAAATTTGTCCAGTATAGAAAATGGTAAATGGGTGATCATTTTTCTTTATTATTCTAAGATTGAAAATAGAAACTTCAATGAAAGAAAGAAAAAGTAAAAAGAACTGGGTGTATCTTTTAGACACAAAACTAATAAAAAGGAAGATATTTGTCAGTTATCAGTTCTTGTGAATAGGGAATTTAATTAAAATGTTAAAAAATGGAATACAGTAATACATTAAGAAAATAACATCTCTCTACCAAGCAGAGTTTGTCTCAAAATTGAAGAAAAGGAATTTTTCAAAATTAAGTAAGCAATATTTTTTTTTAACTAAACCAGAAAATATATGCATATTTAAAAGATTTTAAATAAGCGATTTTAAATAAGCAAGTACTTCACTCAAGTAATTCCGCTTATTGGGTTATATGCTATAATTCAAAGATTTATATAAAGAATTCCCTTCACAGTTTAGTTGAGTCAATAAGAATATTCAAGAATTTATGGGTAAAATTGCTCATCCACAAAGTACAATAACAAGCAGCAGTCTTTATTTATTTATTTTTTTTAAGATTTTATTTATTTATTTGACAGAGAGAGAGGAACACAGCGGGGGCAGTGGGAGAGGGAGAAGCAGACTCCCCGCGGAGCAGGGAGCCCGATGCGGGGCTCGATCCCAGGACTCTGGGATCATGACCTGAGCCGAAGGCAGATGCTTAACGACTGAGCCACCCAGTCGCCCCAAGCAGCAGCCTTTAAATGTGATAGAAATATATTAAATCATACAAGGGATATTCAAAATATATTCTGAAATTTAAAAAAATATGCCAGTAACAAAACAGAACTATCTATAAAACGTATGTATTCATGAAGATATGACAGTGTCTGTCACAAGGTAAGCGCTCAAATAGACATTATTTCCAGTCAGGTTATGTAAATGTATTTATTGTGTCAGTGAGTCTGTGTGTATGCATTTTTGTGAAAGAGGTTATTTCTGTATGACTTGTATATTTGTGTGTGTCCATCAGTTGTGGGAGTGACCACCACAAACTCTCTTGAGAATAAGGCAGGTACTACACAAACATAACAGTAAATAAAAATGATACATGTATTATCTAAAAATACTTGTATATCTATGTGTGAACTATCCTTCATCAATAAATAGTAACTACATCCATGGTTCCCCAGGCCAAAATCTGAAATCACTTGTTCGGGCAGAATTCTAAGAAGACCCTTTATTTTTAATTATTTCTCCAACCGCCCATCTAGAAAATTGGTATGTGTATATGAAAGAGGACTTCAGCTGCCTCCATTTTGATCTCAAACTTTCTGGTGGGTTTCTTCTTTCCAGCTTGTCTCTTGGCTCAGGTGGAAGACGAAGAGAGTAAAGAATCCCACCCCTAACAGACACTACCCCCTTAAGGAATAAGGACTAGCCTGAGCCCTCAGGCCCCCACCCATGTTTGACTCGGAGACAATGATTCCATTGGACCTTCACTGCGGACCTGTAGTATCCACTGTCTTTTGCCCCACATTTTTCTTATATAAACCTGAAAATATTTTTTAGCACTTTGGAGACAGTCTTTGAGATGCTAGTCCACCGTCTTCCTTGTATTGGCCTCACTGAAATAAATTCCTTTCCTGTTTCACCATGGCTCCTCTCTCTGTCTTTGCATTTTTGTCAGCGGTGAGTGGCTGGACTTGCTCTATTTGGGACTCCCACAGGCAGGTGTTCCTGCACCCCTGAACGCCAGCTACGTGCGTATGTACGTATATTTTCTCTATATGGATTTTATGTTTTAAAATTAATCTTACCAAAAAAATTAATATTTTTGTCCTTACTTTGAATGGAAACTCATTTTTTTTTGTTGGCACGGGAAAGAGTAAATTAATGTCATGACGTTACTGACCAGGAAATTACTACATATGTAATATATATTCCCTAGTGAAAGGAATTAAAATATTTTATACCATTAACATAAAATGAGTAAAAATCTGACTCTGCACTCACATTAAACTTTTTTTTCTTTTGGGCAGTGGTATGTATGGCACTAGTCTTCTGTTTTAGCCTATACATATTTTCTCTTTATTACAAGTTTCAGGTATCATTTGCATAATTCTGAAAGCTTTAATTCAGATGTTACAGGATATTATTCGTTGAATGTACTATTGTACTTAGTTACAAGTACTTTTTTTTTTTAAAGATTATTTGTCAGAGAGAGAGAGCGCACACAAGCAAGGGGAGCGGCCGGGGAACAAGTACTTTCTTTATCAAGTGGTAGTTTTGTTTTCAAGCCCCCAGATTGCGCGCTGCCAGTTCAAATTAGCTCTCTCTCTGAGTGATAGCCTCCAGAAAATCCCATCAGTACTCAGGCGGCTGGAAGAGGTCGAATATCATACGTTGTCCAAAATGAAGATGCTGCGGAGGTTCCTGGGAAGTGTAGTTCCAGAGTGAGGCGCGAGGGCCTTTTGCGCATGCGCAATCCCACCTCCTTTTGATAGTCGCCATCTTGTCTCACGCCCCAGGGCGGGAGAGCACTCTGGACTCTCCAGGTCTGCGCGGTGCGACAGAGGGCGGGGCCTGGAACCTGCGCTGGCCGGGAGCGGTGGCCGAGCCCTGCAGGTGTGTCAGAGGCCTGTCTGCGGGTGCGAGGCCGGGAGGGCGGTGCGGGGGAAGCCGGGTCTCCGCGGCTGCACCGAGTCGGAGAACCTGGAAGCCGCCGCCGCCCCCCTCTGAGCTCCCAGCTGGCCTCCGAGGAGGACTGGGGAGGGGGTCAGGCAGGGGGCTTTGCGGGGGATTGCCCGTTGTCCACCTTCCTGGCTCTCGACCTGCGGAGCCGGGCGGCCCGAGTTGGCCTGGAGCGCGGGTGGAGCGGGGAGGGACGTGGGGGGACGGCTTTTGTGACGTGGACCCCAGGCCCGCCACGTCCGCGCTGGCGTGGCTGTTGGCGCCGCAGCGCTGTCAAGCCCGGGGGACCTGCGCGCGTCCCGCTCCCGCCAGGAACCGAGCAGGACAACCTCGGTACGACCCGGGCACTCATCTGTAAAATAATTCCAGTAACCACTGGGGTTGTTTGCTGTATTAAATAGGGCTGTATATATAAAATATGATGAGGACTCAATAAAGGTGAGCTTCTTTTATTATTACAAGGTATGCTGTTTTCGTTATTGGCTCATTTAATCATAATCATCATAACCATCCTTTGAATCGGTATTAATCAGCTCCATTCTAATACGAATACTAGAGGTTTAGCGATAAATGGGTGTACTCAGCACTACCGGAGGAAGGTGGGTAAATTCTCATTGTTTTACTCTGGTTCATGCTGTTTCCCACGATAAAATCCAGTCTTCGGTTGTATTTAGTACCGTAATTGTCCCTGAGCAAAACTGTGGAGTGTGGTAGACCTAACCTTACCACGTAGAGTTCTGTTTCCAAAAATTCTTGAGGCTTTCTCAGAACTCTTATGTCAAAAGGTTAATTAAGGCCCTTCTTGCATTTTCCAGCCTGTTTCTATTCTCAGAGGGCTGCTAACATGTAAACTGAAACCGCTAAATTGAGCCCTGAATAAGCTGGGAACCCTCTCCAGGCCAGAGGCTAGTTTCTAAAGAGGGGAAATGGGACAGACTTTGTTAATAGACGAAAACTGGAACGTCGGGGCTCCATGTTAAAATGTTATGTCTCTAAAAAAAAAAAAAAAAAAAAGTTATGTCTCTGTTTGGCAGGTGTGTCTGGACTTAAGTTTTGTAAGCATCATGCCAGCTGGAAGGGGCATTTAGTTACCTTTTGCTACCTACATAAAGCGTTTTGGGATTTATGGTGTCAAATTGTTATTTTAAGGTTTAGATCTGTGTGGCTGTCAGAAGATCTGTGTCAGCCACACAGATCTAAACCTTAAATTAACATCTTAATACCAAGATGCAAACTGCCTTGCACACTGATGGTGTTAAGAGCAGTGGTGACTAGGTTGCTGCCTGTTTGGCATGAATCGAGACAGTGATACCAATGACTGCTGCTCTGCAGTGGACTCAATAAAAAACTGCCACCTTTACTTAAGGGTATCTTTGATGAAACAGTAAAAATTAATTTATGTCAAATTCTTCAAGGCCTAATTAACTTTTACCCTAAGGCCCAGCCCAAGGTTGAAGGGGACAGTGAATTCCAGGGTACCGTCTGGATTTGTGGCAATGAGTGAAGACTTACAGAATCAAAATGGTACAGGAAAGGTTGTTCAAAATAATCTAATTCCTTCTCATGTTAAAGAATAGCACTGAAACTAAGTCATTAAGTTTGTTAATAGGAGAGACTAGCATAGAATAAAAGTCTCCACGTCGTCCACTATACCATGTTTAAGTCAAAACAAGTTTCTTGGAGAAGTGATTCTGGAGAAACTGCAATTTAGGGAGAGGAAACATGTTAATTTTTTTTTTTTTTAAAGATTTTATTTATTTATTTATTTGAGAGAGAGAATGAGAGAGAGAGAGAGAGAGCACATGAGAAGGAGGAAGTTCAGAGGGAGAAGCAGACTCCCTGCCGAGCAGGGAGCCCGATGCGGGACTCGATCCCGGGACTCCAGGATCATGACCTGAGCCGAAGGCAGTTGCTTAACCAACTGAGCCACCCAGGCGCCCCGAAACATGTTAATTTTTGAGGGCTTTGAAGACTTTCTAACTTTGTGGGGTTTATAATATTAATAGGAAAAATTGTTATGTGACTTAAACACTTCCATATCAGTATTTCTTTTCAACATCATTTGTAATGCCAGCATCGGGGGCCATACTTTGGATATATATTAAACACCTTGGATATATATTATACACCTTGCCTAACCTATTTTTGGGTGTTTAAGGTTTTCAATTCTTTTGTCCATTTACTAAATGGACTAAATGGCCAGTAGGAAAGAAATGTTTAGATTCACTCAAAATTTTCCCAGATACATCATGATTATATCAGAATCACCAATGGACAGGTGGGTAACTCCTTTATCATCGTCCTCCTATTCCTCTTCATGGCTCAAAGGGATATTTTCCTAGGTGTTTATGTTTTACTAAAATATATGGAAATTTCTCACAGGTGATTCCTGAGCTGCAAGATAAGGTCTTTTAAGACTTTTGTCTTCCAACTTTCCCTGTTCTGGCTTCATAGTTTCTGTACTTTCCCAAGAGCAGCAGAAAATGAACAAGTATCAGGTGAGTCATTTCCTTAGCCTTTTGTGTGTCTATTTTCAGTGAGTTTTATGAAAGCCCATACATTAAACATGAAAAGTGGAAATATTTAAAAATCACCTTAAGGGAAAATGCTGTCTGAATAGCACAGCAGTTCCAAAGCATAGTCTGCAGATTCCTGGGATCCCCAAGACCTTTATAAGGGGCCTGTGAGGTCAGAACGTAATACCAAGATGCCAACTGCCTTGCACACTGATGGTGTAAGAGCAGTGGTGACTAGGTTGCTGCCTGTTTGGCGTGAACCGAGACAGTGATACCAATGACTGCTGCTCTGCAGTGGACTCAATAAAAAACTGCCACCTTTACTTAAGGGTATCTTTGATCAAACAGTAAAAATTAATTTATTAAATCTTGACCCTTGAATACGTATCTTTGTAATATTGACTCTGAGGAAATGGGAAGTTGACTTACAGTACTTTTGCTACATACTGAGGAATGATGGTTGGTTGTCTAGAGAAAAGGCACTTGTGCGATTGATTCATGAGCTCACCTAGCCACCTTTTCATGGAATACTATTTTTACTTGAAAGAGCAACTGGCAGACAAACTGGTTCTTTGGACGGGTATTTACCAAACATTTTCTCAAAAATGGCGGCAGTGAGCCTGTCACTTCAAGAAAAAGAACTCTCAGTAGTTGTTGCCAGTGTTAAAAGTTGAGCTTTCAAGTGAAACAGAGATTTTTGGAAAACTTGTATCCTCCACTGTGAAGCTGACACGTTCTAATAGTTAAAGACTTTTCTGAGGAGATTGGTGAAGATACTAACAAATGTGATACATTTTTTATATGTGTCTGCATTTGAGTAATATTTTTTTTTAAAGATTATTTATTCATTTGAGAGAGAGAGCACGCATCCGTGCACAAGCAGGGGCAGTGGCAGAGGGAGAGAAGCAGACTCCCCGCTGAGCAGGGAGCCTGACATGGGGCTTGATCCCAGGACCCTGGGATCATGACCTGAGTGGAAGGCAGATGCTTAAGCGACTGAACCACCCAGGTGCCCCTTGAGTAATATTTCTGATATATGTGCTCAGAGGCAGTTTAGGAGGACAGCGTGACACAGAGAAGTGAGGAACAGAATAAGGTGGTTAGGGAATGCCACTCTAAAAAGCTAATATTTGAGGAAAGTCCTGGTTAAATGAGAGAGGGAACCAAGTAGGATTCTGGGGGAAGAGCATTCTAGATATGAAGAACAGCAAATACAAACACCCTGAGGCATGTTCCAGAAACAGTATTCAAGACATTGAAGCTACAGACATAGGGGAGAATGAGCTAAGAGGGAAGATCAAGGAGGTAGAAGGGGCTGGAATATGTAGGACCTTGTAAGCTGAAGAAAACATTGAATTTAAGTTTTATTTAAAAATCATACTTATGCAATCAAAGGAATGTATTTAATGTATATGTAAAATTTGTATTGATGAAACACGGGTGTATCCCCTATCTGGCTTAAGAAATGAAAATTACTACTATCTTTGAAGCCCCATGTGCCGCTCCTCACCATTCATTACCCAGAGAAAAATGAATCCTGACTTTTGTGGTAACCATTTCTTTGATTTTAAAATTTAATGTTTAAAACAAAAGAGTGTATTTGGCACTTAATTTCCCAGCCCTTTTATAAGCACTTGACATAGTCTTTGAAATTCTTATAGCCCAGCTTTTGAAATCGTTCACTACCGTATCATAAACTTTCAGTGTGGACATTATGTGAACTAAAAATCATAGTCTTTGGGCATGATGGTAGGGAGAAAGAGGCTATGGAAAGAGGAAGAATATAGGAGGAAGCTCCAAAAAAATTAACCTATTCAACAGTTCTGCTTTAGTCTTGAACATGTATCTTTTACATGATATTCTCCTTATCCAGAATTCATTCAGGGGTGCCACATGTTCCCCACTTTATGCTCTGTAACTAATCTCTGACTGGCCAGTTTGGCCAGCACAACTGACTAGTGAGCCTTTTAGTTTTTTGAAGTAATTCTGAATGCAGTCATCACTACCAACTCTTGGAAAAGTTTATTCTATGCAGATACTGTAACTTTTTGTTTGTTCATTGCCATTTTGGCCAAATGATGTGATCTTTTTTTATTTCTTCTTGAATCTTTCAGGTTGTATTGGCATAAATTTCTTCTGTTTGAAAACATCCTTTATGTTGTTTTTATTCTGCTCGCTTACTTGTTTTAGTGAGGGTCTGCTGGTGGAAAATTCTGAGTTTGGTTTATCTGAAATATAAACAGCTTTTTCACTGTGTATAGAATCCTTGGCTGACAGTTCTTACAGTTTAAAACATTGAAGGGGCGCCTGTGCGGCTCAGTCGTTAAGCGTCTGCCTTCGGCTCAGTTCATGATCCCCGGGTCCTGGGACCAAGCCCTGCATCCCTGCTTGGCGGAGAGCCTACTTCTCTCTCTCCCACTACCCCTGCTTGTATTCCCTCTCTCGCTGTCTCTCTGTCAAATAAATATATAAAATCTTAAAAAAAAAAAAAAAACCACATTGAAAAGCATTCATTGTCTTCTGATACTACTGAAAATTCACCTTTTAATTTGTCAGACCTCTAAAGTAAATTTGCATTCCAGGCTAGCTACTTTTAAGATACCTTAACTCTACTGTGTTCTATGTATGGATTTTTCTTTATCCTAATGAGATTCATTGTACTTCCTTTGGGAGACGTCTCTTCCTGGCCTGGTGCTCTGCTCCCAGCCTATGGAGGGCTGTTGCCATGTACTCGGTAGAGTGGGGAAAACTGGTGGCTGTCTGTACTTCAGACCATTCATATTGGTTATGGAACTTCCTATTTGGTTCCAGAAATTGTTTCCCCAACTTATAATAAAATGATCACTCTGAGACATTTGATGGGAAGTAAAAAAAAAAAAAAAAAAAAATCCTGCAGATACTAGCTTCCAATTAGGGACCTTTTGGATCATCCAGTGAAACATCCAGTCACCAGCTAGTATCAAATGGCAGATTGATGTTCACATGCTTTGTGACTGGAGTTCTAAGACATCGCAGAAATCCATAAGCAAACATTAAAATTTTGTTGAGTTGGATTGGTTCCCTCTCCCCACTTGCCCCTAAAAGTGAAAGTCATTGTGGTTTTCTTTTCTGGAGCATTCATCTGTTGTGAATTTTTCCTTTGTTCATCTTTGGATTCTCAGTTCTCTGATAGGTTTTGGAAAACTTGTTAAGTTTCTATGTTAGAGGCTTGTTCTTATTGTTAGGGTGAGATCCACTTCTCTTTTGCCTTTCTACATTCTACTCAGAACTAGCTTTTTATCCTTATGGTCAGGATACTAGCTCTAAGCTACTTTCTGCTCTGCCCTGAAATTTGAAAATGCCCCAAAAATTAAAATGCAAGGTACAGGACTCAATTTCTTTTTTTCTAGGATCTTGATCCCCCCACAATTTTGGTGCATATGGTAATATTTGATGTTTTCGTACCGCCATTCTTAGTGTTTTCTGGGGTTTGGTTTTTACTTTTATTTTTTAATTGGGGCAAAATATACATAAAACTTACCATTTTAACCATTTCTCACTGTACAGTTCAGTGGCTTTAAGTACATTCACATCATGGTACAATCATCACGACCATCCAGCTCCAGAACTTTTTTCATCTTGCACAACTAAAATTCTAACCGTTAAACAATAACTCCTTATTCCCTCTTCCCCTGGGAACCACCAGTCTACTTTCTATCTATAACCTGACTATTCCAGGTCTCTCATATAAGTAGAATCACACAGCATTTGCCACTTTTAACTGGCATATTTCACTCAGTATAATGTCCTTAATATTCATCAGTGTAGCATGTGACAGGATTTCCTCCTTCCTGTTAAAGGCTAAATGATATTCCACTGTTTCTATATACCACATTTTGTTTATGCATTCATCTTTTTTTTATTTGACATGTTTTATTAAAAATCAAGACTTTATACTTTTTACTGTGTTCCATCTTTCCTTTTGCATCTAGTTAACTTAATACTCACACCTACCTTCTTCGATGCAGCCTCTTCTCTACTTTTAGTTGTGGAGTTTGTTCAGCCAGTCTTGGGGTTGTTTTCTTGGGTTATTTATGCTGATGTGAGTGTTATCTAGTTTTATCCGTGGGAGGAGGTGAGCTAGGTCCTCCTACTCCACCATCTTCCCAACCTCTCCTTTATGCCCTCATCTCTTGATGGACACTTGGGTTTTTTGCACCTTGTGGCTATTCTGAATAATGCTGCTATGAACATTGGTATACAAATATGTGTTTCAGTCCCTGCTTTGAGTTCTTTTTGGATATATAACTAGGAGTGGAATTACTGAATCATATGGTAATACTTTAAGTTTTTGAGGAATCGAGGTACTATATTCTCTGTAGGAGTTGCACCATTTTACATTTCCACCAGCAATGCACAAGGGTTCCAGTTTCTCTATATCCTTGCCAATACTTGATATTTTCCTGGGTTTTTATGTTGTTGTTGTTGAGAGTAGTCATCCTAATGGGTGTGAAGTCATTTTTGTTTTGTGCTGTTTTATCTTCTTTATTCTTTAACTTAACAGCAAAATTCACTCTTTTTGGATATACATTTCAGTGAGTTTTGACACATGCATAAAGGCATACAATCATCACCAGAGTGAGGAATTAGAACAGTTTCATTGCCTCAAAATTCTTTTGGTTCCCCCCACCACTAATTCCTGGCAATCACCAATTTATTCTTTATCCCTATAATTTTGCCTTTTCCTGAATATCATGTAAATTAAGTCAAATAGTATGTAGTTTTCTGAGACTACCAACTTTCATTTAGCATAATGCATTTGAGATTTAGTCATGTTGATTGTACCCACAGTTCATTCTTTTTTATTGCTAAATAGTATTGAGCTGTATGTATGTACCCAATTTATTAACCCATTCACCAGCTGAAAAGCATTTGGGTTTCTGTTTTGTGGCAATTATAAAAGGAGGTGTTACAAACAATTGCATTTAGATTTCTGTGTGTACACAGACTTTCATTTATCTTGGGTAAATACCTAGGCATGTGCTTGCCTGCATCAGATTTAGTATTGTGATTACCTTTATAAGAAACTGCCAAACTGTTTACCAGAGTAGCTGTACTATTTTGTGTTCCTACCACAATGTACAGAGTTCTACTTGTTTCGCATTCTTGTCAGCATTTGGTATTGTCAGTTTTTTTTTCAAATCCTGCTGATAGGTGTGTAGTGGTATCTCATTATGGTTTTAATTTGCATTTATCCTATGACTAATATATTGAAAATGTTTTAATGTGCTTATTTGCTACCCATATATCTTCTTTTGGAGTGCACTTACCAAGTTACACTACCTTGGACTTTTATATTTGGATTTTGAACTAGAACTGCCCATTAGCTGTGAATCTGTCTTTCTTTGGCCTCCTAAGCACTCTCCTCCTGACCTGCCCGTATATTTAGAGTTCTGTCAGACTTCGGTCTTGGCCTAGTTTCTCCTACCATTATCTTGAATGTTGTTGCTTTCAGACTTCTTTTTTGACTCTTCTGGAACCCTGTTTTTTAAATATGACAATATTATTTGTGGAAATTTACTTACATGTATATCCATCAGAATAGACAGTTCCAGCTATATGTTCCACAGTCACTTCACAGTGTGAACAAAATTCAACTCTGTCTCCTCCAGCCCAGTGGATTTTTTCTTGTTTTCCAGTTTTCTTTTATGGATTTCCTGGTTGCCACAGAATAATGTTAGTTGGCAAAATACAAATGTCTCCACATGCCCCAACCTACTCCTACTGTATAGCTAGGAGACAGGAAACTTCTGTTTTTGTATAAGTTGGGAGATGACGATTATGAGCAAAAGCAGTTTGGAGCTCACCCCAGAGCAGGAAGTCAGGAGGGCACCGATGGAAGAGGAAAGATGGCGAGGTCATAGTTGTAGAGCAACGTAAGATCAAGTGGGCACAGAGATGCTCACCCTGACTGGGGAGATGCAGGAGAGGTCTGAGACTGTGGGATCCAAGGACTGGCACTGGGAGTAAAAAGGAAGGGACTTCGAATGTGTGCAGGAACGCAGACAGCAGCTTCAAGCAGTCAGCAACACAGAGGAAAAGAAGTGGAATCCCTTGTGTCCTTGGTAGTGAAGGCAATCAGAAAACAAGCAGCTGAAATCAGGTGTCCTAAAGAAAAGAGTACATTTTCACAGAATCTGAAGATGCCACCCCCGTACTGCTGTTTCCTTCAAGAATGTGAATATACTCTGGCAACAGACTTTTCTGAGGAGCTGAGGACTAGGGTAACACTTCCATCCCTCCTCACCAAAAATGTTTTATCTTTATTTGATCATGAACAAAAAATGTTACTCAACATGCAGACAGTACTAAAAAAGTAGAATGTGTGAATTAACACTTTGTCCATTGATGTCAGTACTCCTCCCCCAAACAAACGCAAAGCAGACTACAGATTTCTGATATTAAGGAGTTTCAGATAGGAAATAACTTTAAAACCCAGAGATTAAAGACTCAGAAACTGAAAAACAAGTAGATATAAAATATAAGCAAATTAACTCAGGGAAGAAATAGTAGAACAGAAAATCCTGTCAGGTTAGAAGATTAAATGACAGTGCAGCTCTGGGAGAAGAGAAATGCAAGTGGATAACTGACATGTGGCAGAGGAATTGGAAGTGACCATGGAGTGGGGGAGAGGGTAGGGGTGCCAATAAGAATGGACAAGGAAGAGGAAGAGAGAATAACAAATAGGAAATAAAGTAGAATCCCTGAATAACAAAACCTAAATAGTGGAAGAGAGCTAGTATTTAATCCAAGGAAACTTTCCATAAAGAAAAGGAAAACAGAATTACATACTGAAAAGGCTCTGTGTGCCAGAGAGAACTGACCCAGAGTCTGGCAAACCCCAAGAGAGAGTCTCATAAAACTACTAGACTTACTTAAAAGTAGAGAAAAAAGAGTCCTCTAGGTTGCAAGGAAAAAAGTCTACATCCCTTGCCAAGGAAAGAAAATAAAATCGACAGAATTCTTATTAGCAACATATATATAAAACAAGAATAGCGGAACAGTGTTTTCAAGAAAAAAAGTAGAAGTCAGAATTTATATTCAGCGAAGAAGTTCTTCAAGTTTTCACATTACATGTCAGATTCTGTGGAATATAAGCAAAGTGATGATTGGAGGAAATTTCATAGCCTTACACAGTCCTACCAATAAAAATGAGAGAATGAAAATAATTAGCATTACGGTTCTAGCTATTCTCAAACTCTGTAGATACTGCAGGAGTTATCCTTCCCTTCTCTCAATAATTATTCATTTCCCATGAAGGTATGTTTCTTCCCCCCACTGCTGCTATTTCACATATGCCTCTTAATTTTCTAACACTCCATATTTCGGGTGTGGTATTTGCCTCTTCTACTTCAGTGTTTTCTTCTAAACGACCAGGCTACTCCTGTAACTCTAGCACTTCATATCTGTCTTTTCAGTGGCTCCCTGTTCTCTGTAAGTGAATGGGTGAACATCCCAAAGATGTGTAGGACAGCCCACAAAGTGTAAAAATAGTGGGAAAAAGCAGAGTATCTATTCATATTTTTTTCTTATAAATAGAAAAACAAAATATCAATTTTTAATAAAGACTTATAAACATATTTATAAACAGGCACCAATTAAGTGGGTATGCAAAATATATTTTAATGGCCCAGAGACACACTCAGAATTATTCCATGTTCTGTCACCTGACTGGACTGTATCACCTTCTAATTAATCTTTCCTGTTCTCATATCATGCCGTCTTATTTGTAACATTCCTAAACTTGCCATTTTTCATGCATCAAGGCCTTTGCCAACTCTATTTTCTTTCTTCCCAGTTTATGGTAGCTTGACTACCTAGTAAAATCTGATTTGAGAATATACAATGCAAATATCTATCCCCATTTGTGACCACCGTATATCTGGTACATGTTTCTATCAGAGCACCTGCTATGCATGTTGCATTCAAATATTTACATCTTTGCCTCCTTGTCAGAGTGTAAGCTCCTTGACAACAGGAATAGTTGCTTTCATTCATCGTGCCTCCAGCAGCGTTCTAGGCATGGGTGGTATCTCAGTAAATACATATTGAACATTTCATCTATGTATAGAGGAGCAAAGTATCTTAACTTTCTAGAGTAAACTTTATAGTTGGCAGGTTAACAGCTAGTTTACACGTGTCTTTTTGTGGTGCTCTACTGATTACTTCAGTTTGAACTGAAATCTGTTGTTACAGGGACCAGTAACGTTCAAGGATGTTATTGTGGAATTCAGCCGGGAAGAGTGGCAGTTACTGAGCGCTGCTCAGAGGACCCTATACAGGGAAGTGATGCAAGAGAACTATGGCCTCCTAATCTCAGTGGGTGAGAAAAACTTCCCCATATGTAACTACCAGGAGTTTGCATTTCCTTTCCCAGTTGCCGGACTGCATAGTATTAGCTTTGTTCCAGGGGTAAAAGGTGATGAATCCATTTTGGGTACCAGAAAATACTTGTGTCCCCTCCCTCCCCATTGAAAGAATCTAAATCTGCCAAGCCTAAGTAGGACCTTCATTGTTCTCCTAAAACTGCATTTCTTCATCCTTCAAAGTCCCTAAATTCCAAGTAATCTGTATTACATACTTTTCCATTAATAGGTTACCGTGTGAAAAAGCCGAATGCAGTCTTCAAGCTGAAACAAGGAAAAGAACCGTGGATACTGGAAGTAGAATTTCCACATCGGAATTATCCGGGTGAGTGAGGACCTGTGACCCCTGTTGCTAGTGAGGTGGTTGGTGCCTTTGGCCTTCTGAAATATTTTAGGAATCTCTTTTTTAAATGCCCTATACTTTTGGAAAAGACCAAGGACACTTGATCTGCATATGCAAGCAACATAAATCACACTTCCGATTTTCATTTTTCCACATAATTCCTCCTTTGCCAGACTTTTTAAAATAGATTTACTTTTCCCTCCTATATACAAAATCTAATTGCTGCCTAACCTTGCCTTAAATTTTTGTCTTTTTTCTAGAATTCCCAGTTACTGAAATTCTAGAACACTGTAATCTTAAATCAGATGATAAATTTTTCTCCAAATGCCATTTCCCTTCTTTTACTAACAATGAGATGCCTCAGTTATTTTTCAGCACTGGTTTTATTAACTTCCTTTTCTCTCTTTAAACTCTGAAATCAGATTACAAATCTTTATGTTTTTCATCAATTACATTATTTCAGAGTTGATACTTCCTTTTAGATGTGGTTTGTCTTTCATACAAGTACTAATTATCCCTTCTAAAATCTACTTCACCTTACTTGGAGTGTTGTAACACTAAGATTTAAAAAACTAAAAACAAGCCAAAAAAACTACTAAGATGATCTCACTCTGCTTCCTTAAATGCTTTTCTCATATTCCTGACTTGTGTACTTACGTGTTGCCAGGACCAGGAACAATGCCTGGTGTTTAGTAGTTGTTCACTAGATACTGTTGAAAGGTTGAATGTGAATTAAAAAGAGGCAGGCACTGTGTTCTCCTCTGTGCCCTTCACAGTAACTCCTGCAAGGCCTCCTCCTTTCCCAAGACCAGAGACACACACGATCTTGTTTCCTCTGTGTCCCAGTTAGCCTTGCCCAGGTCCCCATCAGGTAACGTCTTAACGTCTTCCCAACAAGTGCCATGAAATTCCAACCCAAGCCTCTGCTCATAATCTTTCACTTTCTGTCAAGCATTTGAAGATGAATAAATATGAAGGTCAGTAAAGGTTCCAGAATGATGTTGAGTAATTACTCTTTATAGATCATGCAATAACTTGAAGTAGATAGGTGGGAACTAAACTACGAAAGCAGAATAAGCCTGGGACTGAATTGTGGCTAACACTGCTTTGGAGATGCAGCATTTGGCGATCAGGCTTGAGAATCTTTGCTACTGCAAATGGGAATTCATCCTGTTTTATGATGGCTTGCACTCTCTCTTTTTTTTTTTTTTTAAATTTTTCTCAGTTTTTTTTTTTTATTCTTATGTTAATCCCCATACATTACATCATTAGTTTTAGATGAAGTGTTCCATGATTCATTGTTTGTGCATAACACCCAGTGCTCC